GCGGTGAGCTGAGCTCTGTCATTGCACTCCAGTCTGGGCAACAAGAGCGAAACTCCATCTCAAAAAAAAAAAAAAGGGACGGCACAGTGGCTCACTCTTGTAATCCCAGCACTTTGTGGGGCCCAGACAGGCAGATTACTTGAGGTCAGGAGTTCGAGAACAGTCTGGCCAATATGGTGAAACCCCGCCTCTACTAAAAATGCAAAAAAATTAGCCAGGTGTGGTGGCGTGCACCTGTAATCCCAGCTACTCCAGAGGCTGAGGCAGGAGAATGGCTTGAACCCAGTGTTAAAAAGTCATGCTTTGAATGAAGAGGCCCCAAACAGGCTTTGTGTGAGCAACATGGCTCTTTATTCACCTGGGTGCAGGTGGGCTGAGGCCGGAAAGGGCGTTAGCAAAGGGCAGTGGGATAGGAGTTGGTTTTATAGGTTGGGGCAAATCTTTTGGGGAGGAGGCAGGGGTGTTACGGAGTAAGATCAGTTGCAGTGGTGAGCGTAGGGGCGAGGAGTATGCATTACCTAAGCTCAGTTACAGTGGTGGCCGGGTTGAGGTGAAAGAGCCGTTAAGATGGCAGGGTGGGGCGAGGGGAAGCTTATGTCTGGGGGAAGCTCCCCTGGGCTGTCAGGGATAATGGCGAATACAGGCAGGGGGTGGGGATGTGGAGGGTGGTCAACTGAGGCAGGCACGACTTCAGAGTTTCTGGGTCTGGTTTGCACATGGAGGCCTGACACCCAGGAGGCGGAAGTTGCAGTGAGCCGAGATCGGGCCACTGCACTCCAGCCTGGTGACAGAGCTAGACTCCGTCTCAAAAAAAAAAAGACAAAAAGGGACATTAAATGATGAAAAAAGACCTTATCCAACAGGAAAATGTCATAGTCGTAATCATCTATGCACCTAACACTGGAGCTCCCACATTTATAAAGCAATTGCTAATAGACCTAAGAAATGAGATGCTAGTGAGGGAGCTCCAGTCCTCCCCTGAAGAAGAGAGGACGCGGGAAGATGGCAATCTTTAAATGCTGGCCTGCTTTCGCATACCAGAAGGAATGGCCCCATTGTGGGTGTCCCAGGAAAACAGTCCCTAACCTCTGCTCCTGCGCTGACAATGGCTAGCACCCCCTCAGTCTTTTTTTTTTTTTTTTTGCGACAGTCTTGCTCTGTTGCCCAAGCTGGAGTGCAGTGATATGCTCTTGGCTCACTGCAACCTTCCTCTCCCAGGTTCAGGGGAGCACGTCCGGCTGATTTTTGTATATTTAGTAGAGATGGGGTTTCACCACGTTGGCCAGGCTGGTTTTGAACTCCTGACCTCAAGTGATTCTCCCACCTTGGCCCCACAAAGTGCTGGGATTACAGGCATGAAGCATCGCACCTGGCCTGGTCTGTCTCCAGACGCAGGGGACACCTGTTGGTTTTGCAGCATCTTCTCTCTTTTTAATAAAAGCACCCATATTTTTCTTTGTGAGACCACTCTCCCTCCGCTTTGTCTGTGGTTCCCCGGGTCAGCATAGTACTGGGGTTCAGCCAGAGTCTTCTGTTCCTTTGGTCACAGCAGTCTATTCAACGGGGGACATGTGACTCGAGCCAGATCAATGAGCACCTGTATTACTCTGTTCTCATACTGCTACAGAAAGACCCTGAGACTGGCTGGGCGTCGGGGCTTATGCTGTAATCCCAGCACTTTGGGAGGCCAAAGCTGGTGGATCACCTGAGGTCAGGAGCTCAAGACCAGCCTGGACAACATGGTGAGACCCTGTCTCTACTGAAAATAAAAAACTTAGCTGGGCATGGTGACATGTGCCTGCGGTCCCAGCTACTTGGGAGGCTGAGGCAGGAGAACTGCTTGAACCCAGGATGCAGAGGTTGCAGTGAGCTGAGATCATGCCACTGTGCTGCAGCATGAGCAACAGAACAAGACTGTCAAAAAAAAAACAAAAACGAGAAAACAAAAAGCCCTGAGACTGTGTAATTTATAAAGAAAAGAAGAAAGAAGTTTAATTGGCTCACAGTTCCGCAGGCTGCACACGAAGCATAACGCTGGCATCTGCCTGGCTTCTGGGGAGACCTCAGAAAGCTTCCAGTCAGGGCAGAAGGCAAAGAGGGGGCAGGCACCTCACAGGACGGCAGCAGGAGAGGAGAAAGGGAGGGGGCGGTGCCCCAACTTCAAACCGCCAGACCTCTTGAGAACTCACTAGAACAGCACCAAGGGGATGGTTGCAAGCCGCTCACGGAGAACTCTACCCCCATGATGCAGTCACTTTGCAGCAGGCCCCGCCTCCAACACTGGGATTACAATTCAGCGCGAGATTTGGGCGGGGACACATTCAAACCATGTCAGTGTCTATCTGAGGCATTTGGCTGCAAATTCCAGGTAGAGACACTCTCTTTCCCTTAGGAGGGTGAAGTCAGCAGCACTGAATCCTGGAGATCTGTTGGGGCTGGGTGCGGTGGCTCATGCCTGTAATACCAGCACTTTGGGAGGCTAAGGCGAGCAGATAACCTGAGGTCAGGAGTTCAAGACTATCCCAGCCAACATGGTGAAACCCCGTCTCCACTGAAAATACAAAAATTAGCTGGGCGTGGTGGTGGGCACCTGTAGTCCCAGCTACTCAGGAGGCTGAGGCAGAAGAATCACTTGAACTTGGCAGGAAGAGGTTGCAGTGAGCTGAGATTGCGCCAATGCACTCCAGCCTGGTGACAGAGTGAGACTCCGTTTAAAAAAAAAAAAAAAGATCTCTGTTGGAACCACGTGAACCCCTCAATCTAGCCATGCCTGAATTTGGTCTGTGACCCTCTTGGACATGACACAATATGATCCCACTTATTCTTTCCCCATCTGAGTTAAGGCTTTGTTGTTTGCAGTCAGGAGTCCTGGCCGGTCGCACCCACCTGCAAGAATAGCCAGCTGTTTGATGAAGACGTCACTCCGAAGGAATTCTAATGCTTAACGTTTACTGGGCACTTTCCACATGGATTCATTGTGCCAGATTTTTTATTTGTAAGAGAGTTATACTTGACCATGGTTTTATGAGTTTTGGTGGTGTGAAAACCCCTGTCCTTTGCAGCTCAGACTCCTTTTTCTACTCCTCAGGGGTGCTGGAGTTAGAAACCAATACCCCAAAATATGGTGCTTTGACATATGGAACTGAAGAAGCCTCGAGGTCTCTCTGACCTTCCCCCAAAGAAGTCTTTTATCTGGTTAAGATCCAGATCCACAAGGAATAATTATTTTTAAAACCAGGAATGTAACCATACCTGAATAGAACTTGCCACAAAATAATATGTCAACTGATCTCTGCTCCCAGATGTATTGATTTTCCCTAGTAATCCTTTATTCCCCTCTTTTCCTACTTCCCATAAACTGTGTTGTCAGGATGGTATATGAACTTCTGAACCCCACTGGGGCCTGGACACTGATTCTCCCCATGTGCATGTGAATTAATTTGTATGCCTTTTTTCTATTAATTAACTGGCCTTATGTCCGTGGTTTTCCAGGGAACCTCCATGGGGCCTTGGCCCTACAGAGGCAGCCGCTTTCAGCTTTTTCAGATTGATTTTTTTTTTCAGACAGGGTCTCACTCTCTCGCCTAGGTTGGCGTGCAGTGGTGTGATCTTAGCTCACTGCAGCCTGGACCTCCAGGGCTCAAGTGATCCTCCTGCCTCAGTCTTCTGAGTAGCTGGGACCTCAAGGACGTACCACCACACCTGGCTAATTTTTTTCATTATTTGTTTGGCTGGGACTGGTGGCTCATGCCTATAATGCCAGCACTTTGGGAGGCCGAGGCGGGTGAATCACCTGAGGTCAGGAGTTCAAGACCAGCTTGGCCAACATGGTGAAACCCCGTTTCAAAAAAAAAAAATTATTTGTAGAGACGGGGGTCTTCCTATGTGGCCCAGGCTAGTCTTGAACTCCTGGACTTATGTGATCTGCCCACTTCAGTCTCTCAAAGTGCCGGGATTACAGGATTGAGCCACTATGCCTGACCTCAGATAAATCTATTGAGGTTTCACGGTGAACGGTTAGGATGCGGCTCATTTTTGCTCTCCGTCCGCTCCACAATGCACACTTTGCATCCTCCTCCTCCTCCTCCTGATTTAGCCATGTGGAGAATTTGTTTAGATCCACATTCACTGCTTGTGTTTTTGACTTTATAAACTCTCTGCACGGCAGGTGTAGTATACACTCTATGCACTCTGCACGGCGGCTGTAGTATATACTCTATGCACTGTCTGCACGGTGGTACAGCGGGTGCGGTATACACTCTGTACGCTCTGCACGGCGGGTGCGGTATACAC